GTCGGCCAAGAGTCCCAGACGCGAGGAAGGGAGGCGCGGTGAGTGGCCCGGTGCAGGCCTCCTGCCTGGTGATGGAGAGGGGAGGAAGGGCTGGTGGGGGCATGCAGGGCAGTAGGGGCAGGCCCACTTCTCCGCTGGTCCCCACACCTGGGCTCTGGGGCCCACACCTGGGCGCTGGTCCCCACACCTGGGCGCTGGTCCCCACACCGGGCGCTGGTCCCCACACCTGGGCACTGGGCACACTTGAAAGGAACTGAATTCTAAGTTCAGGAGTGGAGTAGGGCCCGCCAGGCTAGTTGAGAAATAATAGAAGGAACAATGACAACATGATGGCAGACGCCTGCTAGTTGCCTGCTGGTGCGGGCACTGTTTCTAGTGCTTTACAGGGATTGCTGCAATTATTGTAGGAACCCTGTGAACTAGCTACTCTTGTTAGACCCATTTTTAAATGAGGAAATTGAAGGCACAGGGAGAGCCAGGGACTTGCGGCTCCCACTACCAAGCGGTAGAGCCGGGATCCAAGCCCAGGCCTGTCTGCCCCAGAGGCCCGGCTCCTCCCCACCACAGTATGAACAGGTGCTCCCGGGAGCACCAGGGGCCATGCAGTGAGGAGCCAAGTAGCTCGCTGTGCAGATGGGAAAACAGGCCCAGGGCAGGGCATGCCTCCCGGGACGCCCCAGAGTACGTGCTGCCTGACCTGGGCTCTTCTCCCGCTCGTCACAGGAAGCACTGTCTCACCCCCGCCAGGGATATCCCGCTCTGCTCCTGGCACCCCGGGCACCCCACGCTCACCGCCGCTGGGACTCATCGGCCGACCTCGGCCCTCACCCCTTCGCAGCCGCATTGACCCGTGGAGCTTCGTGTCAGCCGGACCACGGCCGTCGCCCCTGCCCTCGCCACAGCCCGCGCCCCGCCGGGCGCCCTGGACCTTGTTCCCAGACTCTGACCCCTTCTGGGACTCTCCACCTGCCAACCCCTTCCGGGGGCGGCCTCAGGACTGCAGGGCGCAGACCAAAGACATGGGTGCCCAGGCCCCGTGGATTCCGGAGGCAGGGCCGTGAGCGGACCAGCTGCCCCAGAGGAGCCACAGCACACACTGGAACCGGAGCCAGGTCAGCCGCTGGCGCTGCCTGGGCTTCCCCCAGGGACCCGCCCCCTTCGGGGGTCAGGAACACTACACTGCACAGGAAGCCTTCACACTGGATGGGGGGCCTGCACCCCCCGCATACCTGCAACCTGTGGGTCCCCTGACTCACCTGCCCCACTGGGGCTGACACTGTACCCAGCTGGTTAGGAGGACCATAGCCTGTCTCAGGGAATTGCCCCCAGGGGTGGCGCAGGGAGGAGGGGAGGTGCGAGGGAGAGGGGCCGGCCTCAGCTGTCACCAGCACTTTTGACCAAGTCCTGCTACTGTGGCCCCTGCCCCAGGGCTTAGTGCCTGAACCCCCTGCCCTGGGGGCCATCGAGGGCCAGGGTTCTCTAGGTGCCTTCCTGCTGCCCCGGCCAGGGTTGGGGCCTCGGCCTCAGGATCCAATGAAGCCAAATAAACTCCCCAAGCTATCTCCCCAAGCACAGCCTGGCACCGTTCTTGGAAGTAACCGGGGATCCCACCCATCACACGATGCTGGCGACTTCCTGCCCCAGCAAATGGTCAGTCGGCCTGGGCCTGGGCCTGGACCTGGGCGGGTGCCTTGCATCACAGCCCTCTCCTGGGATCAGGTCCACCAGCTTCAGTCAGGCATTCAAGGCCCTTGTCGGCCACCCTGGCACCCACACAAACTGGCCTCCCCCACCTCCTCACCCTTGCCAGGCCTTTCCCACCGTTGGCGGTGACTTCACCTGACTAGTCCTGCTGCCGGAAGGGCCCTGCTTAGCCTCGGGGCCAGTTCGTGTTGCCTCCCCTGGGACTCTTGGCCGTGCTGCTCCCAACTGGGCAGCTCGCTGAACTCAGGAACACACAGCCCTCTGGGCAGCATTTTGGAGGTTTGTCCTGTCAATCGCAGAGTCTGGACACAGGAGTGACCTACTCTGGCTCCTGGCTCCACTCGCTTTCCTTACTACCATGGGGTTCCGAGGCTTATGCGAGTCCCAGTCTGGGCTCCCCTCCCCTTCATGGTCCATGGCAGCCAGGCTCACCGTCTGCAGTGTTCGGAGTTACCAGGAAGGTCTTGGAATGGGGACCTGACAGCACCATCTCTCCCAAGCGCTCTGTGTCCTCAACACCTTGCCACCCTTGTCCCCAGCAGACCCACCCCAATCCCCTGTTCCTCTCCCACTGAGCTGCCCAGCCACCACCTTCCGTCCAGGATGCATACAGTAATACCCCCAGAGGTCTCCTGGGCCACACTCGGCCTCAAGGCCCTGTGTCCTTACCTCTCAGCCCGTTCCTCTCACACCCCAGCTCTTTCCCACCTTGACTAGCCTCTTCCATCCCCAGCTGAACTGTCACTCCTACAGGAACCTTCCCAGCGAGAGCCCCTGCCCGAGCTCCCGCCATGGCCCAGGTTTCCTGCAGGGAGCGAATGACACTGTGAACCTCACACTTCCTTGCCAACAGGTTCCTGTGTGAACAGAAAGGAAGGGACGTGTGTCTGTCCTCGGATCCAAGCCGCCGCTGGGTGGATGGGGCGTGTGTGACTGAATGGTCGTGTCCCCGAGTAAACGCTGCAGTGTGATTCTGAGCCAGTCACTGACCTCTCTGGGCCTCCCCTTCCTCCCCCTGGCCCTCGCCACCCCAGCTTTGGGGAATCGGGCAAATAGTGGCCGTAGAACCTGGGAGGAGCGGTCCAGCTCATCGCCAAGCCTGGGCCGCCTCCGCTCCCTCCATTCACACTCGCCCAGCTGCGTCCCAGGCTTCCCTCACGCTCAGCCACCCACACAGCACCTCCCGGCCCCACCTGCCAACCCTCCCAGTTGCCTGAGGTGGAGCAGCCAGCTTTCAGGACACCCCAGACTCCCAGGCGCACACCATGGGGGGGCTGAGGCCCTGGGCTCGATACGGGCTACTGATCTTGGCTCACCTGCTGGCTCTGGGCCTTGGGGCTGCGGTGCTCCAGGCCCTGGAGGGGCCCCCAGCACGCCGGCTCCAGGCCCAGCTCAGGGCTGAGCTGGCCACTTTCCAAGCGGAGTACGGGGCATGCTTGCCAACCGGGGCACTGGAGGAGCTGCTGGGCACCGCCCTGGCAGCCCAGGCCCATGGGATCTCCAGCCTGGGCAATGTCTCAAAGGCTGGGAACTGGGATCTGCCCTCAGCCCTGCTCTTCACCGCCAGCATCCTCACCACCACGGGTAAGGCTGCCAGGTGGCTGGGCAGACAGGGCCTCCTAATTCCAGCGCCCCCCGGGGTCCCTGGGGGTACAACCCCTCCCCCAGCTCCAAAGTGCCAGGCAGAGCCCAGGCTCTCTGAGGCCTGACATCACAGCTGGGTCTCTCCACACCAACACACCCCAACTGGTGCCTCAACTTCAGCTGCCAGGAGGGGCGTGGCCTCCCCAGCCCCACCCAAGGCACCCTTTGAGGCCCAGGAGAGGTGCCCAGACCCCATGGGTCCACAGCAAGGCAGGGAACATGTTATGGGATAGATGATTGGGTGGAGGAATGGAGTGAGCCTGAGCGTACAGATGGGCAGCGCTGGCTCAGGAGGGAACATGAGGGAAGGCTCCCAGGTGAGAAGTCTTGATGAGAAGTTAGCCAGGGCACAGAGATGAGGGGTGAAGGAATTCCTGGCAGAGGGAACAGCATGTGTGAAGGGCCAAAGAAATAAAGCAATGGGACACACAGCCCTGGTTTTTTTGGTTGGTGTCTTTTTTTTTTTTTTGTCAGCAAAGTCTCTACATATTTTTTTATTTTTTATAATATATTTTATTGATTTTTGGCTCTACATATTTTTTAAAAATTAATCTGTTTTCCAACTTCTGTTGGAAAAATCAGAAAACCTATTTGCATTGAGCCAGAATTCCTGCAAGGCAACGTTTGGCAGGAGTGGAACAGGGCCTGGCCTTTGGGGCAGAGCACAGGTTCTCAGTGCACCCCAGTCCCCACCACTCCCTTTTGTTTCCTGGTCCCCACCACTGCCTGGCTCCTCGAGGCGTCTGAGTTTACAAGCTCTGGACTAGCTGGGCCTGTTCTCCCGCTCTCTCACCTCTCCCTGCTTTCCAGAAGCTGTCCTGGCACGGAAGGCCCTTTCTCACGCATGCTGCCTCCTCGGCAGCTCTTCCTGTGGTGCCTTGACTGGTTTCCTGCCCGTCTCCCCCACCGCATGGCAGGGCCTGAGCACTCAGATTCCAGCGCCAGGCCCCGCACACAGGAGAACTCAAAACACCTTTGGGGGATAAAAGGGTGGGTGATGCCCTGCCCAGTGGGTGCAGAAGTATCTGTCAAAGGCAGAGCTGAGGATCTTAGAAAGCCAGGCTCCCTCTGGGGCAGGACAGCAATTCTCAGACTTGTCCCAGCCCCAAGAGGACTGAGGGCAGGCTGTCTCTTTTAAGATTTCACTTTCCAGAAGATAAAAGAGTCGTCCAGAGAGGTTAAGGGACTTGCCCAAGGCTCTCCAGCTGATGAGGAGCAGAGCAGAGCCAGAGCATGGGCCCTGACGGTTCCAGCAGTTTCAGCCACTAGAGGGCAGCCTTCCCCAGGCTTGTTGGGGGAAGTGGGGACCCTAGCAGGCATGCACACAAGGGCTCATTGCCCACTGTCTTTCTCCTGTTCAGGTTACGGCCACATGGCCCCGCTCTCAGCAGGTGGAAAGGCCTTCTGTGTGGTCTACGCGGCCCTGGGGCTGCCAGCTTCCCTAGCACTTGTGGCCACACTGCGCCACTGCCTGCTGCCTCTGCTCAGCTGCCCGGTTGCCTGGGTAGCTGTCCGCTGGCAGCTGACACCAGCCAGGGCCGCGTTGCTGCAGGCACTTGGGCTGGGCCTGCTAGTGGCTGGTATCTTCGTGCTGCTGCCAGCGCTGCTGCTGTGGGGTCTGCAGGGCGACGACAGCCTGCTGGAGACCATCTACTTCTGCTTCGGCTCACTCAGCACCATCGGCCTGGGGGACCTGCTGCCTGGTCGTGGCCGTGACCTGAATCCAGTGCTTTACCACCTTGGCCAGATCGCACTTCTCGGTGAGTTCAGCTGCCCACGAGCACCGGTGGGAGGAGAGGAGCCTGGACTACAACTCCCATACACCACTGGGGGAGGCTGAGCCTCACAGGTGTAGGGGATTTTAGCTGGAAGAACTGGGCAGAGAATTGTGAGTGGCATCAGGTACCAGGGTGGGTCCCCAGGCGAGGGGGTGGGCAGAGAGCATCATCGGCTTCCCAAAAGCTGCCCGAAAACCGTTTCTCCCCAGGTTACTTGCTCCTGGGGCTCCTGGCCGTGCTGCTGGCAGTGGAGACGTTTTCGGAGCTGCCACAGGTCCGTGCCTTGGTGAAGTTCTTTGGGTCCAGTGGCCCTTTGACTGCTGAGGACCAAGGTGGCATCCTGGGCCAGGATGAACTGGCCCTCAGCACCCTGCCCCCCTCAACTGCAGCCCCAGAACAGGCCCCCGCCTGCTGACAGGTGTTCGGTGATGGAGCTAACTCCTTTCAGGTGAAGAAGCCCGAGGGGAATTCTCTAGAGATGAAGGGGAAGCGTGGATGTGAGAACCTCAGAGAATAAAATGTTAACAAAAAATAAAATGGTGAACAACCCCAACTGTTTTTGTCTCCTCTTTGGAAAGGGTTGTTCCCTACAGTGAACCCAAAGCCGCGTCAACCTTGGGAGGTCCCGCCTCCATTGGCATCTGGGAACCTCAAAGCCCGCACAGCCCCGTCGAGGATCGCAGACAACCTTATCGGCCTGAGCACCAACCCTTTCCGTCCATTGAAACCCCAGCTGCCCCGAGAAAGAGTCGGTGCGGTGTGGCCTTGTCCAACTTTATTGCTCACAGGGAACAGGAAGCGGAGGGGCGGGCGCGGCGGTCCACAGCCACCCTGCTCCCCTGGGGCTGGCCACCCGGGCCCTGCCGTCGA